GTTCTTTCTGGAAATAAGCGACCCATGGATCAGCCTGTTAAAGCGCCGCTTGGCTGGAAGTCAAGGTCTAGCCTCCACCCCGCAGACAGCTTTCCGAGGGTCTTTAGCGAATTCCTGCTCTCTCGAGCAGAGGTTTCCTGCCTATGCGATGAGAGGGTAGGCCAGGACAATGGGAGAAATATTTAGGTCGCGAAGTCTTGTGAAAGCTTACTTCTTGCTAGGTTCTTCAGCAGCCACGCGATATTTACTTAAGCCATCGTCTGGCCTCTTGTGAAGACCTTGAGGCCATGACATGGGGCTTGACAATCGTGTAGCAAGATCTGGCCTGAAGGGGGTGCTGCGGGCTCGCTCAACTGATTAAACTAGAAAAGTCCAGCACTCAGAGTAGGTTAGCTTTCATATTTTATGAAAAAGGTTGAGCTTTTTCAAACTTTAAGTTTTCTGTACAAAATGTGCAGTCGAGGGAAGTGACGTCATCTAGAAAACACCAGTTGTTCGCACAGTGACTGGAGAGAAGGCTCTTTCTGAAATGCCTTGGTTTTGAAGATAAAAAAACAGATTCTTGGCACAAATCCTTACTCCCAGCACTCAGGAGGCAGACGCAGGTGGATTTCTGAGGTCGAGTCCAGCCTGGTCAGCACGAGCTCCAGGACAGAACGGAAAAAACAAAATAGATTTTAAGAGGTGGGAAAAGGTTCAGTTTGATGAATAAAGATTAAAAACAAGTCTCTAAGAAGCCGGACTCCTCAAAAATGCTGTTAGGATTGTTGACTCTTTTTGAGAATCTGTGACAACACGAACGAACGAAGTCAGGGTCGGTGGTGGTTTTTATCAGCTCAGGACCTTGTTCAAAATCTCACACAATGCCTTCTTAATGAGTAAGTGAATGAATTCGTAAATTTTTGGTGGGTGTGGAGTGTCTTGTCTCCTTTGGCTTTAGTAAACCAATCCAAGCGTGGCTTCTTTCCTACAAGATTTCCTTGGGCAGAAATTATGTTCTGCAATTGGGGACTAAAACTAGAAAACAATAAGAGATTAAAAAAAAAAAAGACACAAGGAGTGATAACTCATAGCCCCTGAAATGGTCACAATGTAAGGTCATTATAATAAAGTAATCCAAGAATTTGATGCCACAAAATTAATTCATAAAAAAAATGGATGAGAATTCCATTAGGTTCATAATCTGAGAAGATCCAAGGCTAAAGAAGTCTCAAAAACATTTCAAATCTGATCTAGACGTGTCTTCAGGACTGCAATATGATTGAGGAATAAAAATAGCTTTGGCCAATCAGTGGCCTTAAAGCAGCTGATGCAACAGTCCAGAGAGTATGGCAACAGGAGGAAGGAGGAGGCCTTGCCTGAACCAAAAATGCAAGGCATGGGGGAGGGGAGGAATGCATCCAGCCAGTGTCATACACACCTCCCTGCTCCTCACTGGGCTTGTAGCTTTACTGCTGGGCTTCCAGTGCCTAGACCAGCAACTGGCACACACTACATGGTCAAAAATATTTACTAAATGAAAGAGGAAGGGAAAGAGCAGAAGCAGCTCAGGGATTCTCCCCCACCTCCACACTGGTTACTCTTGTTCAGATTCTAGCTGTCCTAGCCATCTTCAAATGATATATTCGCTTTCCATAGAGGCCTTGTCACAAAGAAGAGCTGACACACCCATTATAGGCCACTTTACAGTTATGTTTCTTACTCCTAATTAATATATCTGCTTTAGGCATCAATTACAAGTGCCAGCCTGCCTCTTAGATGTGTTCACATCCTTCTGCCATCACTGGTGTGGCAGTTTCTGCTATGGAGTCATACTGCCTTTAAACACTCTGCACATTATCAAGGCACCTGACCTCGGCCAGCACACCTCTGAAGAACTTCAGCTTTGTCATCTGTCAAATGGGAATGTAAAGCCTACTTAAGAAAGATGTGGTGAGAGTTACACTGGGATAATGGGTGCGTGCTGGACTCTCGTTGGTAGAGCTCAATAATTTTCAAAGCCTACGTCTCCTCTGCCTTCATTCTGTGGAAGCTGGATCACAAAAGATCATTCACTTTAGACTACTAGTGTCTTCTGATTTCCCTCTATGGCATCATTGTCCTTGTAAATGCAGCCTATAATCACATCTCTGAAGATCAGAAAGTCAATTTCCTTTTATTTTTAGACAGGGTCCTCTTGTGTAGCTTAGGTGTCTCTTGGTGATCCTCTGTTTCTGCCTCCTGAGTCCTGGGATTACAGGAATGTACTGCTATGCCCATCTTTGTTAAATAATTATTTTTTTTTTCTTCCCAAGACAGGTTTCTCTGTCTGGTCTCGAACTCACAGAGATCCACCTGCCTCTGCCTCCTCCTAAGTGCTGGGACTAAACGAGTGCGCCACCAACGCCCAGCTAAAGGATTATTCTTATGAAGACAACTCATATTCATTTGAAAATATGTACCAGAGGGTCATGGAGGTGTAGCTCAAAGGAGCACTTTCTAGCATGTATGAGACTTTGATTTGATCCCCAGCACAAAAGAAAAGTATTAAATACACAGGTCACTAGGGTGAGAGACATTGACATGATTTCCTGCCTTAAATAAACTGTCCCCAGCTCAATGTAGCCACAAGAAGCTGCTTCATGATCTAGACTATCAGTTTCACCTTTCCAAACTGAAGTGTCCTGGCTTTGTGTGAGTGCCTGGTAATATAGGCCATGAATTGGGAGGACTGGTAAGACTTGTAAACACGATAATGAAGCTCAGTGAGTCTGGAAAACAGGGCTTGAAAGAGACTGAAGGGGCTGAGGAGTGGGCCTGATGACGTTGACTTCCAGTAGAGCTGAAGAAGGCCTTTATAGGAAGTGACATCCTGAAGGCTACAAACAGGATAAAGGCACTTAATTCTCTACAGAACTTCAGTGGGTAGAACTTGCAGAGAGGAGTATGGAAAATTATAGGATCATGGGTGTGATAGTAAGACTGAAGAAGTAAGTTGAAACCTATCGTGGCAGGTCTTGAGGATCAGCCTAGAGGGTTAACTTCATTCGATGGCTGATGAAATACCACTGGAATTTTTCTTTTAATCTGGGCATTAACATCATAGTCATTTAGCCAGGCGTTTGTGGTGCATGCCTTTAGTCCCAGCACTAGGGAGACAGAGGCAGGTGGATCTTCATGAGTTCAAGGCCAGCCTGGTCTACAGAGTGAGTTCCAGGATAGGCTCCAAAGCCATATGGAGAAACCCTGTCTCAAAAAACCAACCAAACAAACAAACAAAAATGTTATAGTCATTTTTGTTTGTGTGTCTTTGTGGTCATGGGACTAAAACCCAAGGCCTTGGAATCTATCCTGTAACACTAAGGCCCATCTCCAGCCCACCGAGTTTTTAAAATGTTTTTAAAATGAAATTGTTTAGAAGAGAATTTAACCCAAAGGGACATTCGGTGACCAAGGATCTATTACTAGAAGGACATTGTGCCAAACAGCGCATAGCAAGAAGAAAAGATGTCAAAATATAGACCCTGCCCTCAATGAGTTTCTAATCAAAAGTTTCAAACAAGACAAATACACAGAAAGTGGTAATACAAGGCAAAGTGTGAAAAGTATTAAAACACAGAGGAGAGAAAGGCCCAGCCCAAAGTGCTTGGGTGGCTCAGGAAGGTGTGCAAACCCCTTCTGCACAGAAGCTAGAAAGGCATTAGACCTAGTCAGAAGACCATTATTGGTATCATAAGCCTAAACTTGGACTATTGCAGAGGGGATCTGAAAGAATAAGTCGGCTCTGGCTCTGTCCCAGACTCCTCGACCAGGGTAAAGAGAACTTAAATTGAAATAAAAACTGAGGCCTAAAGAAAAAAGAGTGTAGGAAGAGATTACTGGAATGGGTGAATCAAGCTTAAAGTGCAGGGGGTGGGGCTGGAAGAGGAGAGGTGAGAGCCAGAAGTGATGAGGATGACTCTAGAAAAAAAGAGGGATAAAAACAGAAACTAGGGGAGCACCCATGTTTAGGGAGTGGAAGGAAAAGAGGAGTCAGAAGAGGAGTGGCCAGAGGGAGAAGTGGGAATAGACCCAGACAAACACCTCACTTACAAAGTTTCCAGGAATGCCTGGAGGGTGGAAGGCAGTAGTGAAGGCATCCAGGCAGAGCAGAAGAGGGAAAATTGTAGCAATAAGGACCGAGATTAAATTTGAGATTGTCAAGGGTGTTTTTCAAGGAGGGCTTTTCCAGTGCTTCTGAAGGTGCTGATCTCTCCAGACCTGAGGGGACAAGGTGGTGGCTCTTGGCCTTCAAATATGCAGTATTTGATGTACAATTAGAACAACTGGATGTGGTTAGGGCTACCTACAGCCCTAACCAGTCCCTTCAGGAACTGGAAAGCTGAAGAACGTACTCGGAAGGGATTTCACACCTGGCTGTCTGGCCCAGCCCGGTGAAGTCCCGTTTCATCACGCACCCCTAATGACTCCCTGGGCAGTCACTCTCATCTGGTATTGCCAGAGGTCTGACTAACCCTTCTTGCAAAAGTTTGCAGCAGCTGTGTGAGGCCAACTACAGCTCCCAGAGTTCCCAGGTGCTTCTCGATGCTGATTGGAGAGACGGTTGGCTCCGGAGGGAGGTCTCAGCCCCGCCTCCCCGAGAAACAGACATCTGATTGGCTACTCCGTGGGGCTCTTTTGTCCCCGCCTTCCTCAGGGACCGCAGCGGGCTGACAGAGCCCGGCGAGCGCTGGCAGTTCCGCGGTGGGGATGCTGAGGAGCGCCGGCTTCGCGAGCAGCGCTGGCCACTGCGGACTTCCGAGGCACTCCGGGCCGTGAGAACCCCTGCTGCGCGGCCAACCTCAGGCCTCCGAGGCCGGCCGCAGTTCCCCAAGCTGGGCTGGAAGGAGTGTCCGGCGTTGTAGTGCGGGTTCTCGGTACCCTGAGAGAAACCCCGCGGTTCTCGAGCTTCCCCGGCGACCCCTAGCCCCGGCCTCCTGCGAGCGCTCGCCCCAGACCCCCTCGGGTGCCCTAGCGCGGACGAGCCGCGGCTGGGTCCTGGCGCACACCATGATCGTTGCCGACTCCGAGTGCCGTGCGGAGATCAAGGGCTACCTGCCGTTCGCCAGGGCCGGCGTCGCGGGCCCTGGGACCCGAGAGGTAAGCAGCAGCCGGGCGACGCTGCTTTTCTCCAGCCACAGCCGAGCTTCGGGCTGTCCCGAGCTATGTCTGGAGCGCCCAGCGCGCTTAGGGTCTGGGAGCACGTAAGCTAGGACTAGGGTTGCATCAACTGCAGCCTCCTGTCTCTCTTCTCTCCCCCAGCCCCCCCACCCGGGGGGGAGGGGGCTGCGGAGCCCTCCCTGGGTCCTTTGGACTCCTGGCCAATGAGAGGGGACGCCTCCTCGTGGCTCTCTGGGTTTGTGCTCTGGTGGAGCGATCGTCTTCAAGTCCAGGCAAATCCCGGCCGGAGAGACCCGACCACTCCTCCTCCCCGCCCCCTTCCGCAGATTCCCTTCCTTTGGGTGGGGGCAGACGGGCGGGGAGCTCTTTCTAGGATCGTTTTCTGCAGCGATTGAGAAAGTAAGGGAGTGAGCCACCTGGGACTGGCCAGCGAAGATCGATTCCCCTTCCCCAATCCTCACCTGCCCCCCTGATCTGAAAATTGCCGGGAGTGCTTTAGGGATTTGGCTGGCCCGTGGCAGCGGCCAGAACTGGGGGGGGGGGGTGAGGGGAAGTGGATAACCCTTGTCCGACTCCCGAAGACTAACAAGTCTCGGGCTGATGATCCCTTTTGAAATGTTTTAGGGTCCTCAAAGTTTGTTTTGCTGTCTCCTCGGAGAGTAGAGGGATTTTGCAGGGAGGCAAGGTATAATGCTGTTTTAAAGCCCCCCCCCTTTCCCTTCCAGCGGCCCTGGCAGTGAACGCCGTTTATTATTTATGGCATACAGTATGCCAAGGTACACGGTTTTGTCTGACCAAGACAGCAAATACAAACTGTAGAGTAGCCCCGTTTTACAGAATGAGAAAATTGTGGGCCAAAGGGGCTGAGAGAAAGGCTTCTTTCACTTAGCCCTCATTCTTTGGCCTGTGCATGCCTAGTATTTTGGAGAATGCTTGGCACTGCTGAACATATTGCTCTTTTTTTTTTTTTTTTTTTTAAGTCTAAAGCAGTGGAAGGTATATTGTCAGAACTAGTGTATTGACAGGCCAGTCCTAAGGTGTGTGCATGACCCTAAGAAAATCCCTGCCCATGTCTGAGGAAAGTTATTTCTGGGGGTTCTCCATTCAGTGGTCGGTGGTCTCTTCGAACGATTTAGGAGTCTGTGTAAATAAACAACCTTGCTTCTGCCTTTTCTTTTGTCTGTTTGCTTTGTGAACAATGTTGTCCATGAGAACATCTGAGCATAGGGGTGAGTGCTGGATTCTGGTCCCACCTCCTCTTTCTTGCTGGGTTATCTTGGTCAAGTGATCACTTTGATCACAGTCTTCTTGCATAGGGATTTGATGGTATCTCTAAGAGATTGTTGAACAAATTAACTTAAAATACAAGCAAAAGCCTGAAAGCTGTGTGCCTGGAACATATTTATTGCAGGGAACATGCCATTGCATTAAAATGCTATCTTCTGTCACACTGGGTTAGCAGGCATCCCCTCCCCACCCCCAGTGCCTCTCAAGAGACTTCCTGAGTCTATTCTGTGCTGCCTGAGGGGGAGAGCCAGTGCATGTCTCTCCCCACAGTGCCTGGTAGGGAAGAAAAACTCAGGTGGTCAGGGAGATGGGGTACCTTAGAGGGAGCCTCTTCCAATCCCACCATTTTGAGACAGGATCTCTGCTGTACAGTCTGGCCTTGACCTCATGACCATCTTCCCACCTCAGCCTCCTAAGTGTTGGGATTGCAGGTGTCCCTCAGTACTAGATTTAAGAAAGTCACTACACAGCATTGGAGAAAGCTGGTAATGCTTGCAACATTTTATGTCTCCTACTCCATCAAGAAAAGACATCTGTCTGTGGTGGTGGGCACCTTTAATCCCAGCACTTGGGAGGCAGAGGCAGCTGGCTCTGAATGCAAGGCCAGCCTGGTCTACAGAGCCAGTTCCAGGACAGCCAGGGCTACAAAACCAAAATAAGTAAATAAAAATAAAAGAAGAGCTGGGCAGTGGTGGTGCATTCGTGTAGTGAGATAGTCCTACACATGCGTTTAATCCCATCATTTGAGAGGCAGAGGCAGATGGATCTCCTTGAGTTCAAGGCCAGCCTGGTCTATAGAGCAAGTGCCAGGAAAGGCTTCAAAGCTACACAGAGAAACCCTGTCTTGAAAAACAAAAAGTAAATAAATAAAAGAAAGAAAGAGAAAAGATGTCCTTAAAGGTGTCTGCTTTGAGTAGAATCCTGAGAAGACAGGGTACACATCTAGAATGTAGTCCCCAAGATTCAGGAAGGGCCAGATAGCTAGTTCTTCAACGGTTTCACACCCACTCTGAGAGTCAAAGCCTTCAGATATCCCTGTCTCCAGAAATTTCCTAGGGGCTGACTCTCGTCTTGGGTGGTATGTCTTCAAAATCATATTAGATTCTAGAATAACTTCCTCAAAGAGTCACTTCCTCAGAAAAGCTTTACTTTCCCCACCAGATAGTGCTTCTAGTCCCTTCTCCACTGTGAACTAGCTCCACACAAGATAGGCTTCTGCTTTCCTTCCTGAACCAGTGACACCCTGCAGGGCTCATCTTCCTTTGTGACTAAGTTGTCAACTGTTGAGGCTCTGAAACCCCACATGAACTATGCCAGGCCAGATGGGGATTACTCTGAGCTTTGGTCACTTGTGTCTAAAGAGGGGACAACAAGTTCTGTTTTTTTCTCAGGGTGGTTGAGAGGAAATAAGGTGCTTGTGAGATCAAATATGTAAAGCATTTTAGCCTGGGGCCCCAGTCCATGCTGTCTGCCTCTCTGCTAGGGCTGCTGCTGTATCTTCTTCACCTCAGGCATAAACCCAGGCTCCTGTCTGGGTTCAGCTGACAGGTAGTGGGCAGTGTCAGACCTTCCCAGCTGGCAGAATGACTTAGCAGGTGTCTACCTAAGTCCTGGGGCTGGCAGACTCCAGAGAACAAGAACAAAAGCTAGGCTACTCAGAGGGGCCAATGCAGCTGGTGTACAGCACGCTGGAAGTCAGTTTGTGCTGGGTTTAAATGACCAGGTTTGGTGCCATTTCCAGAAATTGTTATGGTAGAGTGGAAAGGGCCTTGGCGATGCCAGGCATTTTTGGGCTCAAATTGCACTTTTTTAGGCACTTATTAGTTGCTTTTTAGACATTTAATTCACTCCCCTATGCAAACTAATCCCCAAAACCTACAAACTGATAAGGATCAGATGTAAATAGGGCAGGAGCTCTTGGGTTTAACACTTAAATTACTGTCTAGCAAGTACTTGAATTAGGAGAGAGTGTTCCCTGAGGTAGTCAGTCCCTTTCACCAGTCCACCCCCTACTGAGTCTTCAGGTAGAGCAGTCTGACTTCATTGTTCTTGCCATCACATGATCCCTCTGTTGGCCCTCAGTTGCCACATCTGACAAAATTTACAGCTGGTAACTCCAGGCATGGTGGCACACACATCTGTAATCCCAGAGTTTAGGAAGCTAAATTAGGAGTCTTGCCCTGAGTTCAAAGTTGCAAAATAAGTTCCACCCCTGCCTGCCTGTGCTACAAAGTGAGACCTTGTCTCAAAATAACAGAACAATTTAGAGCTAGTGTAGTGTGGTGTAGGCAGAGAGGTTGAAAGTTTTAATCCAGACTGGCTACATACTGAAATTTCCTCTCAAAAAAATTAACTAATTAAGCTAAATTCAAATTAAGCAAAAAATTTAAGATTTTTGTTGTAGTTACATTTTAAGTGTCTGGGCGTGAAGAATCTGAAGAATCGCTAGGGGCCAGGATGTGTAGGAAACAGTGCAGATGCAAAACATCCCACATGTAGAAAGTTCTATTTGTACTTTCTTTTTTCTTTCTTTTTTTTTTTTTTTTTTAAACTTAAGAAAATGTCCCACAGACTTGCCTATGAGCCAGTCTGGTAGAGGCATTTTCTAACTTTCTCTTTTTAAAAAAAAATATAGGACTGGAGAGATGGCTCAGAGGTTAAGAGCACTGGCTGCTCTTCCAGAGGTCCTGAGTTCAATTCCCAGTAACCACATGGTGGCTCACAAACATCTATAAGATCTAGTGTCCTGTATAACACTGTATGCATAATAAATAAATAAAAACTTTAAAAAAATATTATTTTTATTTCATGTGCATTTGTGTTTTACCTGCATATATGTCTGTGTGAAGATGTCAGATCCCCTGAAATTGGAGTTACAGGCAATTATGAGCTGCCATGAGGCTGCTGGGAATTGAACCCTGGGTCTTCTGGAAGAACAACCAACTGTTCTTAACTGCTGAGCCATCTCTCCAGCCCCTGAACCCCTTTTTTAATTCCAGGCATAGGCAGGCAGGTCTCTGAGTTCAAGGATATCCTGGTCTTCAGAGGGAGTTCCAGAACAGCTAAGTCTGTTAAACAGAGAAACCCTATCTTCAGAAAAACAAAACAAAACAAAAACGTTATTTTTTTTAATTATATCAATGTATGTATGTATATGTGTGTGGTGGGGGTGTGCATGTGTGGATGTGTGCACATGTGGGCAGGTACCCACTGAAGCCAGAAGGGAAGTTGGATCACCCGGTGCCAGAGCCACCCAGTGTGTATGCACTAGGATCCAAATTTGAGTCCTTCATGAGAGTAACAAATGGTCTTAAGCACTAAACCATCACTCCAGCCCCAGAAGTTCTATTGGACTCTAGTGAACTAGACACAAGAGCAACAACAGGAAGCTAGACCCTTTGTGCCCTTAAGGCAAGGAGTCCCTGTGGAAGGTGTTTGGGGGCGAGTAGTAAATTCCTAAGGCTCTGAGCAGATAAGGGGCTTCTCATTCTTGGCAAACTCTGGGTGCTGGTTCATAAACCTTAATTGTTGAGAATGGGGAATGGCTTCCACGCTGGCAGGAACCTGGTCTATATTCACCTCTCCCACTTCCTTCCTCGCTGAGCGACCAGAAGTAACTTGCATGCCTCATCTGTAGCTTTTACCTTCAAGTCCTGATAGTACAAATGAGGTCAGTGCTTATGCCCATAGAACCAGGGAATACCTAATCCTGCTGTCACTCAACATTGTTATTGACTGTCTGTCCCAGGGGATGGGAGGGGGCTGGTTTGGTGGTGTCACCTCTTGGCAGTGACAGCCTGCTCCTCCAGCTTTCCCGGGACTTGCCCTGATGTCAAGGTCAAGGGAACTTTCCAGATACTGGAGCCATGGATTCCAAACCTTAATCTTGCATTCAGGACGTTCCAGTGTCCCCCGTGTTTGAACACTGGTCCCCTTCATCTTCACAGACTCTGCTGCCTTCCTAACCTCAAAGGTCACCTACTTCCCCAGTAGTTTTTCCTGTCCTGTTAAACTAAAATACCACACACATGCACCCACCCTGTCTTTACTCACCCTGTTCATCATCATTTGTTTGCTTTCTCCTTGGGAACTGAGATGATATTAAAGCTGTCTGGGATTTTGTCTTTTCACAGCTGTAGTTCATACTACACACAATCAGAAAATTGTCAAATGAAGAAATTAATTCTGAGGAGGAGGGTCTTTAGGTTCGGTAACAAAAACAAAAAACTTCACAAAGGGATTCTAATGGACTCTGGGGCAGGGAGGCTCTTGTTTGAAATAACAGTAAGATAGGGTTCTATTAGTGTTCTCCCTGGTAGAGATGCTGAGGTAAATCCTGTGGCTTAGACCCATTAAATCCTTGAGACTACCCAGTGAAAGTCCTGTTATTCCGGGAGGAAACTGAGGCTCACATAGGTAGCTGGAGGGTGGGGTTATTAATTTTCATTTTACTTATAATTTGTGCCGATCCTTGAACTCAGGGCCTTGTGCAGACTACGAATGGCTACTTGGGCTGTGCTTTCGGTTCCCTCATGGCAGCACTATAGAAGAGCTGTGGTCCTAGCCTCTGCAGCTCCTATTTTTAATTGTACTCTACATTATAATTATTTCTTTTGCTGGGAAATGCTGAAGGATCTAGAACATCACTTAGGACCCAAGGGTATTGTTTTCTCCCTGTGCTGGCTCGTGGCTCAGACCTGAGGTTCAGACAATCCAAAGCAGTTCCCTATCTCTTCCCAGGGACATCTAGAGGTCCTTATTTCTCTGACTGTGCTGCTGGGGTTTCCTTTTTCTCCTTTTCATTTTAATTCTTCTTCTTAGAGTCTTGGTATTTGCATATTCCACATACACCCCAGGGGTTTTGTTTATTTGTTTTGAGGCAACATCTCACTCTGTAGCTCAGGCTGGCCTCAAAGTCCTGCTCCTCTTGCCTCAGCTGCCTCCCCAGTGCTGGTATTACAGGGGTTTGGCCTGGCCAAGCTGTGCTTTTTCTATCTGTCCCTGTCCTCAGGTCCTCTGGAGTGAAGGAGGCCCAGGCAGTGGAGTCAGCAACTCTTATCTCCCCGACAGAGCTGTTGGGCATTTTCTCAAGTGAGGGAGGAGGGGAGCTGTGAAGGGAGTGCTTGGGGATTATGGTGTTTCTGCATGCCCTCAGACCAGCCTAGCCTGTTACCTCTTACAAGTGTGGGTTGAAGGCCTCCATGGAGGCTAGTGGTGCTCACCTTTAATCCCAGCACTAGAGAGGGAAAAGCAGATGGATCTTCTGAGTTTGTGGCCAGCCTGGTCTACAGATCGAGTTCTAGGACAACTAGGACTACTCAGAAAGTAGGAAAAGTATGGGTTGAAAGGAGCAGCCTTGGTCCCCTTTTGTCCTTAAATTAGACCCAGAAAGCTTAAGTAACTTTCTCAAACCACACAGCAAATTAGCAGCAGAACCAATATACATACCTAGGGCTCTAAACTCCTTATTTATTTATTTTTTTTTTTTTGTCATTTTGTAAACCCCAGAGGACATAGGGACTTTTGGCCACTTTAAAAAAAAAAGGGTGGGGGGCTAGAGTATAGTTTTGAGTCCTTGAACATCTGAAGTACTAAGCCTAGATCTTACCAGGAGAAAAGAGGGGACAGTGTCACTTTATAGTGAAGGCAGAACTGTTGTTTGAATCAGTTATGCCAAGGCTGGTATGGAGAGCCCCACACTGACATTCAGAAACTAAATGAATAGTTAGAATGTTCTCCTAGATCTCATCTGTAGGAGCAGGAGGAGCAGCTTCATTGAATACATGGCTCTGGCTCAAATAACCTCAAGTCAGAATAGCTGCCACCCCCAGCCTGTACATCCCACTTGGAGTCCCCCCACTCCGCTCTGCTTTCGGTTTTCATTTACAAAGCAGAATGAATGACCCGGCCCTGCTCACCACAAAATGTGATGTGGGGGCAAAGCAACATAGAAAAGGCCCTTAGACGACAGTGTTTGTGGAGGCGGAAACACTGGGAACTGTCCGGTCGCAGGCAGTAGACCCGGGAAAACTATCGAGCTCCGAAGGGGATGTGGCCGAACTGCCTATTAATCTGGGAGGCTTCGGTAAGGGGAGGTTGGGTTTTAAGTGACTGGATCAGATTCATGCTTCAGAAAGTTAATCTGGTTACCGGGTATCAGATGGGTCCTGGGTAGTGGATGGATGGGAGAGGGCAGGGTAGTGCAGGTAGGGAATGTTGGTGAGGTGCAGAGTGGTGATAGCCTAGAAAATGTGGAGGGAAGGATAAACAAATGATCGTTTGCAGGGCTGTGACAGGTGCAGTTCAATGTAGAATATGCCCAACATGCCAAGCATCATGCCTAGGTTCATCCTTAGAGAAGAAGGGAAAAAAAAGGGTTTTTTTTTTTTTTTTTTTTTTTTTTTGAGAGGAATTGAAGTTTTTCATAAGCATGTAGGGTAGTAACTGGCCTTGGAATATAAAGATATAAAGAGTTCTTATTTTAAAAGGGTCTCCCCGCCCAGCGCCAGACTGTAATCCTCACTGTCCTGGAACTCACTATGTAGACCAGACTGGTCTTAGACTCACAGAGATCTTCCTTTCTTTGCCTCCTGAGTGCTGGGATTAAATGTGTGCACCACCCACCACTTATGGCCTGATTTCTTGTTTTAAAAAATATGTGCATAAATCAGTGTGTGTGTGTGTGTGTGTATGTGTGTGTGTGTGTGTGTTGGAGATCAGAGGACAATTTGTAGGAGTAAGGTCTCTTTCTAACATGTGGGTGCTCAGAGATTGAATTTAGGTCTCCACACTTGGTGGCAAGCCACTTTACCCACTGAGCCATTTCTTTGGCCTCTATGACTACAAAGACACTGGCCTCCTGGGGGTAGGCTACACGACAGTTGTCAGCTTCCTTCCTCTGGTCCCTCCCAGTCCACCAGGTTGGGGTTTCTGGGTCCTTGTTGAGTTCCTGAGCAGGATCAGCCTTATTGTGCCCTCTTACCAACTTTCCCATTTGCTATTCACCATATGGGTCTAAATGTTACTCTCTGGCTCCTCCACAGGGATGTAACAAGGGGTAGTTTAGAAACACAGTGTCCCAGGGTTGGAGAAGGAGGCTATCAGGCTAACAGTCCTCTCCATCCTCCTGCCAAATAACCACCATGTGTTTTCCACAGGAGCCTCAGGAGGGCCGGGCTCGGCGTGGCCCTCGAGGACCCAGCGCCTTCATTCCAGCAGAGGAGGTGAGTTTGGAAGGGGGGGGGGGGAAATCAGTATCTTTTAGTTTCCCACTCCTGATTTGTTTAATTTCATAAAAAAGCTCTTGAAACCCGGGTAGTGGTGATGCACACCTTTAATCACAGCACTCCGGAAGCAGAGGCAGGCGGTCTACAGAGTGCGTTCCAGGACAGGTAGGGCTACACAGAGAAACCCTGTCTTGGAGTGGGAGAAAGATGAAATGAATAATGACAGCCAAATTTGAGGTTCCCAAACTAGTGCTTATATCTATGTAGTAAGACAGAGATATATCTGTGTCTCATCTGACCCATGATCACTTACAAGTAAAAGTGTATATGTTACCAAACATGCTTTAAAATTAGCATCTGTTTATTGTTTTGTGGTGTCTGGAGCACTGGTTTCACTTGACATGGTGGTTCATGCTTGTAATCCTAGTACTTGGGAAAGCGGAGGCAGGAGGATTGCTATAGGTTTGACGAGAACCTGGGCTCCACAGCTGAGGTCCATTAGGGATAAAGAGAAAGACTGTTTCAAAAGGGGGGGGGGCAGGGAAAGCAAGCTCACTCTGGTCACATAATAGAACCAAGGTCATGGTTCAAAGCTTGTTTTTGTTTTTTTTGAGCAGGAGCACCTTTCATCTAGAGAATAGGTTCATCCTTCACTTTGTTGTTACTTTGATTTTGCAAAAAGGGCTTAACAGCCTGGCTGGCCCCTCTCACAGTGAGTGATCTTCCTGCCTCAGCCTCACTCATGCTGTGATTACAGATGCAGGCCACTGTATCTGGCCCATTGTTAGGCATTCACTTTTCTCTGTGCTAATCTAATCTAGCGCCTCACACCTGGTAGGCCAGTATTCCACTTGTGCTGAGCTACATCCCTAGGCCTCCCCTCCCCCCACTCACTCATTTAACAGATAGCTATTCAGTTGTGACTCGGTGTTGGGTATTTGTTGTGCAGAGATGGAGCTTTCCATTTCCTGTTTTTCTGGTTTTGAGATGGTCTTACTCTAGTCCAGGCCTACCTAGAACTCACTGTGTTGGTGGCCTGCTAACAAAACATCTAAGTTCTCATCTCCCTCCTTGTAATATAAAGTGAACAGCTACCCATCGGCATTTACATCTATATCCCAGCATCTTAACCTCACATATTGTTCTTGTATTTTACTTTTTCCACTACAAATAACTCTTCTTTTACTTAAAAAAAAAAAAAAAGTGGGGTGGAACAGGCCTTGGAGTTCATCTAGATGAGAGTCCTGTTCCTGTCACTTATCAGATCTGTGGCTTCAAGCAGATCTGTTTTTTTCATCTATTAATCGGGGGAAATAATAGTATTCACCTCACAGGACAAGTTCAAACACTCAAGGAAATTCATGATTGGATAGCTATCTGTTGGATGAGTCAGGGCTGGGAATGGAGCTCAGTGGTAGAACATGTGCTTACCATGCACAAGGCCCAGGGTTTGGTACCCAGCCCCACAATAAACAAATAAGAAGATAAGGAAGAAAAAGAGGGAGAGGGGCTGTGGGAAGCTCAGTGCAAACACTGGAGTGCTTGCCTGGCATCTATAAAGCCCTGGGTTAGATCCTTAGCTCCACATGGTCATGGTGGTGAAAAAGTCCTGTGAGGTTAAACAGCTCTACATGAGAAGACACGCAAGGCCTGTGAACTTTTCTGTCCTTCCCCCTGCCCTCCATAGCTGTCATATTAGAAGAGAAATCCTTTGAAGACAGGAGAAACTATACACTCTTTTTCATTGCCAGCTATCAAACCCAGGGCCTCATGCATGCTAAGCATTCATTTTACCACTGAGTCACATTCCCCAGTCTCCAGCAGCCATTCTTCCTGATTTCTCTGCCTAACTCTTCATCTGTAAAATGGGAGAAGGGGGTGGGGTGGCACACATCTTTAATCCCAGCACTCCCTAGGCAGAGACTGGTGGATCTCTAAGTTCCAGGACAGCCTGGTCTACAGAATGAGTTCTAGAACAGCCAAGATTACACAGAGAAACCCTGTCTCAAAACACTTTTTAAAAAAGGGAGGGGGGGGGCCTGGGGACATAGCTTAGTGGTAAGATATTCATCTAGCATTCATGAAACCATAGGTTTGGTCCTCAGCATTGAAAAACAACATTCATTATAAAATAAAAATAGAGAAAATTGAACTCTAATTTCCTAGCTGTTTTGAGGATTGAGTGAGTGAATACATATGAAGTACTTGGACAGTGATAGACATATATAAGTTACATAAAGTGACTAATAAGTGTTTGTTAAAACCAGTTTCCTCTTTGGGACACGATGGCAATGTGCAGTCTCCTACTATTATATCTATATAATGCAACTATATATATATATATTTAAAACAAAAAAGAGCTGTATGGGGGGGGGGCAGAAGGGAACCCGTGCTCTCCGTTTTGCCCAGCAGATCCTTCAGGAAGGAGCTGAGAGCTTGGAGCAGCGCCTGGGACTCGAGGCTCTGATGTCTTCAGGGCGGGTGGACAACCTGGCAGTGGTGATGAGTCTGCACCCCGACTACCTTAGCAGCTTTTGGCGCCTGCACTATCTGCTGCTGCATACAGATGGGCCCTTGGCCAGCTCTTGGCGTCACTACATTGCCATCATGGTAAGTTTATCTGGGCCTGCTGCTTGCAGGGGTGGCCAAATGGTGATTCGAGCTTCAGATTCATTTGCTGGGGCTCTCCTGAGTCGATCTTTTTAGGTGAAGAGGAATTGTTCCGTTTTACCTGATGATGTCCATGGGATTTTAGGTCTTAAAGAGCGGCATCTTTAAGTGTGTGCTTTGCAGATGGGGAAACCGAGGCGCAAAGGGGTCAGGTGACCAGCAAGCTGGGCGCAGAGCTGAAGTTAAAACAGACTTTTTTTTTTCCCTGGGGGATCTTTCCAGAATGGGGCACAGAAGGAGGGTAACTCAGGCTTCTCAACTCCCTTCATAGGCTGCTGCCCGCCACCAGTGTTCTTACCTGGTGGGCTCCCACATGACTGATTTCCTGCAGACTGGCGGTGACCCAGAGTGGCTACTGGGCCTCCACCGGGCACCTGAAAAGCTTCGCAAACTCAGCGAGATCAACAAGCTGCTGGCACATCGGCCGTGGCTCATCACCAAGGAGCATATCCAGGTATGACAGGCGGAGGGTTGGGATCCTGAGGAGGCCTGGGGGCTGGGCTGGAGCAGCCACTAAGTGGGTTAGCTCTGCCTTCCTTCCAGGCCTTACTGAAGACTGGAGAGCACAGCTGGTCCCTGGCCGAACTCATCCAAGCTCTGGTCCTGCTAACGCACTGCCACTCTCTGGCCTCCTTCGTGTTTGGGTGCGGAATACTTCCTGAAGGAGATGCAGAGGGCAGTCCTGCCTCACAGGCACCCTCGCCCCCCAGTGAGCATGGCAGTCCCCCAAGTGGAGACCCACTGAACAGCTCTGGTGTAAGTCCTGGTCCTGGATCTTGGCTTTGGTGTGGGAGAAAGCTGGTGCGGCCTCTGCTCTGGGAATAGAAACTGTGGCTTTCCCATCTCTTCCCAATGAGAGGTTTTCTGTATGTTTGCTTGTTATGTTAATCGAGGGATCTCCTTGAACTTACTGTGGAGTCAAGTAGTACTGAGACTACAGGTCTGCACCTTCGGGCCAGCTGATTTTTTTTTAACCTTCTTCCAAGAAAGGGTTTTTCTATAGCTTCGTAGATCAATGTGGCTTTGAACTCACAGGTTCTGCCTGCCTCTGCCTCCTGAGTGCTGAGATTATGGCAGTTTCTGTTGATCGGTGGCTTTTGTATTTTGCTTTCTCTTGGTTTTTTTCTTTATTTTCATGTGCATTTGTGTTTTGCCTGCACGCATATCTGTGTCAGACCCCCTGGAATTGGAGTTGCAGACAGTTGTGAGCTGCCATGTAGGTGCTGGGAATTGAACCTAAGTCTAGTGGAAAAATAGCGAATGCTCTTTTGTTTTGTTTTGTTTTTTGAGTCAGGGTTTCTCTGTATAACAGCCCTGGCATCTTAAATTCCAGAACAGCCAGGGCATCTTAAATTCCAGAACAGCCACGGTGAATACTCTTGTCTCAAAAAAACAAAACCCAGAAATCTTGTAAATTACAAGTGAAGGAAGACGCTTGCCTCTTCCATGCTCTTATAAACATCTCTGTGAAAGACTCAGACTATGCACTGCCCAGTGTGGTAGCTGGCTCAGAAACACTACAGTTCTTTCTAACCACCCAGGAAGCCTGGGTGAAGTTTTCCAGAGGACAATGAAGGGAGGACTAATTGGTAATTACTGGGTCCTTCCTGCAGGGCTTCGAAGCTGCCCGTGATGTAGAGGCTCTGATGGAGCGCATGAGGCAGCTGCAGGAGAGCCTGCTGCGGGATGAGGGCGCTTCCCAGGAGGAAATGGAGAGCCGTTTCGAGTTGGAGAAATCAGAAAGTCTGCTGGTAACCCCCTCAGGTACAGGATCACAGATGTCTGTGCTAGGGGCTGCTTCTCTCCTTACACTTGTGACGGGAGCAGACATCTCCATGCACCATGCTTTCTCCTTCCAACGGGTTCTGATTACCGGCCTTGTGTTCAGACTTGCCTTTGAACCCTGGCCTGTTAGCCTTTTCGGGTTTGTGTCAGGTAGATGGAGCCTAGCTTTAGGGCTTTTCCCTGGCTGAGTCATCCCACAGAACTACCCCTATTACTGTCATGGGGGCCTTGCCTCCTGGCTTCTTGGGGAGACTCTCTGTGGCCTCCTACTGTACCTCCCCTTGCCTCTCTGATGGTGTGGAGCCTGCTGTGTTCTAGGCTCAGCTTCACTGACTCTTCTTTCTGATATGGTCCTCAGCGGACATTCTGGAGCCCGCTCCACACCCAGACATTCTATGCTTTGTGGAAGACCCCACTTTTGGATATGAAGACTTCACTCGTCGAGGGACTCAGGCCCCGCCTACCTTCCGAGCCCAGGTGAGGCTTCCAGGGCTGGTGGTGTTCATTGCCTTAGATTTGCATATAAGCACAGGGAAGCACATATAATGGTTCTAAAGTTGGATACTTTCTCCCCTCAAAAACCCATGAAGGTGCCAGGCAGTGGGCACACCTTTAATCCCAGCACTTGGGGGGCAGAAGCAGATGGATCTCTGTGACTTCAAGACTACCCTGGTCTACAAGCTAGTTCCAGGAAAGCCAGGACTATACAGAGAAACCCTGTCTCAAAAAAACAAAATCCCACTGGGCATTGGTGCTTCACGCCTTTAGTCCCAGCACTCAGGAGGCAGAGGCAGGCAGATCTCTGAGTTTGGGGCCAGCCTGGTCTACAGAGCAAGTTCCAGGATAGGCTCCAAAGCAATACAGAGAAACCCTGCCTTGATACGAAACAAAACAAAATCAAAAAACCCATAAGGGCAATGAAGACCTAAAAGATCCCAATTGAGGGGAAAGGTCATCATCCTGGGACATCCTGGTTGGTTTCCCAAGTCCATGGCTATCATATCAGATAGTGATGCAGGGAGGGTATGCTATGCAAAGCTAAGGTGTGAATTCTAGAGTTCCAGAGGACAGACCTCAGGCCAGCCTTGGGTTTCCCAAGTCTTGCTCACCGATCTCTTACTTCATTCCTCAGGATTATACCTGGGAAGACCATGGCTACTCGCTGATCCAGCGGCTCTACCCTGAGGGAGGACAGCTGCTGGATGAGAAGTTTCAGGTAGCCTATAGCCTTACCTATAACACCATCGCCATGCACAGTGGTGTAGACACCTCCATGCTCCGCAGGGCCATCTGGAACTACATCCACTGTGTCTTTGGCATCAGGTGAGCAAGTGTCCCCCAGGTTCAGGTCATGTGTATGCCATAAGTCTTCCTTGAGCATGCTGTTCTTTTCTTGTCTATAATAATCTTTCAAGTCAAATTTATGTCTTTGCAAAGGTTTAAAGCTAATAAGCCTCTCTAAGTTCTTTCCCAGAGATAACTGGGCTTTGCTTTATTTATTTTTGATATTTGGAAGCAGGGTAACCCCGACTAGTGTAGAACTTGTATTCTTCAGGTCAACCTCGAGCTCTTGACAATCCTCCTGCCTTAGCTTCATAGGTACTGGATTAAAGGCCTGCTCTTCCAAAGCACTTCAGCTATGGGTTCATGTATGTTTGTATGTGTATTCAGGTACCTCTACACAAACATATGCATAAACATATGTACACACTACATAGACTTTGGTTTTTCAAGACAAGGTTTCTCTGTTTAACAGTCATAGCTGTCCTGGAACTCACTCTGTAGACCAGGGTGGCCTCGAACTCACAGAGATCTGCCTGCCCCTGCCTCCCGAGTCTTGGGACTGAAGGAATGCACCAGCACTGCCCAGGCATAGACTCATATCTAAATTTCCAAATAGCACATCTTTTCTCATTAAATTATGTAAGGACAGCACAGATACCCATCAGCCAAAGACGTTGAAATAATGATGTTTCCGTTCATAACCTGTTATGCAGCTCATGAAAATTATGACCAGGAGCCAGGCATGTGGGAGGTTATCCACCAAAATGTTAAGTATGGTCATCTCTGTACAATATGGTACAATGACTTACATTTTTTATCTTGTTAAATCTTTTCTAATTAAAAGTATGTTTTATTTTATTTGTATGTATGTGTATGCATGCATACACAAACACATGTGTGACACAGTACCCATGTGGAGGTCAAAAGGAAACTTGCTGGAGTTGTTTCTCCCCTTCCACTATATGAGGGTCATCACTGTAGATGGCAAGCTCCTTTACCTGCTGAGCCATATTGCCTGTCCATTGACTGGTGTTTTGTTGTTGTTTTGTTTGGTGTTTTAGAAAAAATTTTATTAAGTGATGTGTTATTTCCTGTTGAGTATTTAGGTTGTTTGCAGGGTGGTTTTTGTTTTTTTCTATTCTTAGGTTTTGTTTTTATTTTTTTATTTTCCTGCCCAAGAAGGGGTCTCTGTTGGCTCAAATTTGGGACCCCCTGTTTCTTTGGTCTCCCAGGTGTTGAGATTACAACCATGTGTGCTACCACCCTGTTGGCAGATTTTACTTTTTTTGAGGGGGGGTGTGTGGTTTCTAGACAGGGTTTCTCTGTGTAGCTTTGGAACCTGTCCTGGAACTCCTCTGTAGATCAGGCTGGCTTAGAATTCACAGAGATCCATCTGCTTCTGCCTCCCCAATGCTGGGATTAACAGTGTGTGCCACCAACACCTGCCTATTTATTTATTTTTAAGGTAGAGTTTGACAACAGCTCAGGTTGACCTTGACCTCACAGCAGAGCAGTCCATCTATTTCAGTCTTTCATGTGCTGGTTTTTCTAGATAGGGTTTCTCTGTGTAGCTTTGGAGACTGTCCTACAACTAGCGCTGGTCTCAAACTCACAGAGGTCTGCCTGCCTCTGCCTCCCAAGACTGGGATAGGCTTTTGTCTTTTCTTTTTCTTTTCCTTTCACCCCTACCTTCCGTCCTTCCTTTCTTTCTTGATTTGTTTTTTACTAATAGTTCTAATCCCAGCACCAGGAAGGCAAAGACAGGAGGATCAGTTAGGTGTTCACGGCTGTCCTTCATTATAGAACAAGTTTACCAGCTAGGCTACAGGACTCAAAAAAAAAAAAAAAACCCACCAAAATTGCTAGGCAGTGGTGATGCATGTCTTCAATCCTAGTACTTGGGAGGAAGAAGAAGCATCAGATCTCTGAGAGTTCCAGGACAGCCTGGAACCCTGTCTAAAAAAAAAAAAAAAACCAGAAAACCACCAAAATTGTCCAGGCGATCACCTTATTTTATTATTCAGGCATTTCCTTCCTGGTTTTTCCCATGTACATATATAACTGGACTGGAGACAGACAAGTGGCTTCTAGACTCACTGTCAACTTGCTTTTGGATTTTGAACCAGTTAATTGCCCTCTCGAGCTAGGCCTCAGCTTGCCTGTCTGGAATTAGCACTGTCTCCTTTTCCTCATCACTGCTTCGTTCTCCAGGATTAACATGCACTGACCTTCCCTTCCTGTCCTGTTTGAAATCATTCCCTGCTGTTGAGGGCAAGTGCCTTCTCTGCATCTCAGTAAAATTGGTGAACACAGTATATTGAATATGACAGAGTATGTAGTTTGTAGGATTGTGACTGGCACAGTCAGAGTTCACTAGTGCATGCTCATTGTCAGTGTCACTTAGAGTGGTCCTCTATGATCCTGGTAACCTATGACACATGATTTCAGCTGTTTTCTCAGAGGAACCAAGATTCTGGTTGCTTCTACCTTCAGGCTTTTCTTGCCACTCTCTGTTCCTCCTTCTGGAGGGTGTGGGTAGGTGGGCCGATCTGCTTGTGAACAGAGCATGATGAGTAATGCTGTCTGGGTCTTTCCATCAGATATGATGACTACGATTATGGGGAGGTAAACCAGCTCCTGGAAAGGAACCTCAAAATTTATATCAAGACCGTGGCCTGCTACCCAGAGAAGACAACCCGCAGGATGTACAACCTCTTCTGGAGGCACTTCCGCCACTCAGAGAAGGTAACAGCAATGTGGAATGTGGACGCAGGCCTGTGGTAGAGCTAGAGAATAGGACCCGCTGAGGATCACAGTGGGAACCTGGGCCTGTTGTCCTTGGTTAAATCCCGTTCCACTGTGTGATTTCAGACTTCATTCAAACCGGGCACTTGGGGGCCTGTTCCCACAGGGCTTTCGGTGGCAGTTTGGCAGCCATAAGTTCAAATCTTAGGTCTCACATAGGAGCATTGTGGTTTTGGGCATGTGACCTTGCATCTTTGAGCTTTATAATAATAAGAGACACTGCCTGCATTTCAAAGCTAGGAAGGTACAATGAGACTATATATGGAAACATTTGATCCTGCACTGGAGCCAGTTAATGGTAGCTCTTCTTTCAGACTTGTGAGATAAGGTGGTTAGTCACAACAGAGGACTTCCTCAGCAGTCACTGCAACAGATTGCACAGAGCCCTAGCACAGGTCGGGGGCATCTCAGTGGGAGGCGTGGGTGAGGTGACTGCCCCCTGAACGGGTAGCCTGGGGGGGGGGCTGCCAGCAGTTGTCAGCAAGCCTCGTTCTTTGTGTGCTCCAGGTTCACGTGAACTTGTTACTCCTGGAGGCCCGAATGCAAGCAGCCCTGCTCTATGCCCTCCGTGCCATCACCCGCTACATGACCTGACTCCCTCCCGTGCAGGACCAGCACCCGGAGCAGCTAAGCCTGGGCTACTGTCCTCTCTACAAGGATTTCTGTGTCTGGATACAGATCCAGGACCCTTTCTGTCTCATGTCCATCCACCAAATGCTGGGATGGGCATGTGCGTGGTGTGCAGCTCCCTGGGCAAGCTGCACCCTCCTTTCTCTCGCTGGACTGGACAGGATTGTTGCACTGACTTTGGGGTCTCAGCTCTGTCCCTGGAGCTGGAAGACTAGGAAAGCCCAAGAGGCCATACCCCTTTGTCTTTCCTGCTCCTAAAAACAGATGAAGGTGAATGGGTTGAGCTCAGACTTATATGCCAGCAGGCTGGGCCCCAGGCACAAGTACTAGGACCTTCCTGGGCTGGGAGGCCCCTGGCTGCCCCTGTGGGAGAGGAGCAAAGACCTCAAAGAACTAACAAACACTCCAGGAGGCTCATCTTTCCTCCTTGCGCATTCTCCAACTTCATTACCTCCCACCTGCCTTCCACCCATCAATGTGAAAGTTGGACTCACAGCTGGTCTGTGTGCCCAGATTCCCCAAAGCCTGTTCTGGGCAGCCTGGCTTTTGGTTGCCTGAATATTGGTTCAGTTTTTTTTTTTTTTTTGTCTCCTTTGCCCTCATACCCTTTTCTCCCATGCCTGCTGGGGTAGGGCCCGGGAGAGGGGCCAAACACATCCAAAGAACATAATGTCTCTGGAGAGTTGGAGCCCATGTTGGTCCCTCTGCTGTCTGAAGAGTAAGGAGTAAATGCCGATGAACTCTGTATTTGGATCCTAGACTGTATTGCCGTGCAGAGCCAGTAGTCCATTCTTCAGATCCCTCGAGCTCTGCCAAGAATGCTTGCCAATCATTGAGCCTTAGGTGGTGGCACCAGGACCCACCTAGTAAGAGGCAGATACCAAGGTTCTCTTTCTCTTGGCCACATTGCTGTATCCTGGACCTCATGGTTGCAGACCAAGGTGTTGGCTTCAGTTTCTCAAGGTTTGACGCTTGCCTCTGGGTTCTCAGGCCAAACCAACAGCAGGCTGGTTGTCTTTCAAGACCTTGAAGGCCTTTGGGGAGCCTTAGTCTACAGTCAGCCTTCCAAGGGACACCACCCCCACCCCAGTGTCCCATCTGTCCCCTCTCCTGGATTTAAATGGATTGCTTGGCAGAAGCAGCCAAGGACTCACAGGCACTTTACATAGCAAAACAACTGTGAATTCTGACTTCCCTTCCCCCTCCACCAGCAGTAAGCAGGTGCCTCCTCTGGGCCAGTCCAGAGGTGTCTGAGAAAGTAAAGGACATACTACTGCTGTTTCCAACTCTCCTCCATTGGGCCAGGCAGAACAGGGGCCTGGCCAGTGTGCCACATTTCATACCCGTGCAGGCACGGGACACAACTACTGCCCCCTCCAGGCTTGGAAGCCCTCCCTCAGTGAAGGTGGACAAGAGGGGAGGGGGCCTCAGCATGGGGCTATATTCTAGAGGGGACACGGTGACGCTGTCAGTGTCCCCTGGGTGGGCGGGAAGGGTATCCAGTGTTAAAGTGCAGAAGTCTTTGGCCTTCCTTGTAAGCAGTTCTAGGTAATAGAAATAAAAGTTGGCTGAGGTTTGTTTTGTAGTCCTTGTTAATGGGATGTTTGTTCATTTCCTGAAGGTCAGAGTTCACCTCCTAGCATAAGCCAAAAGTTGTGATTGCATCATGGACTTGACCTCATGGCCTCTGCCCAGCCTGTGCCCATACCTAGTAATTGCAAGATGGGATTGCTGGCATTGGACGTCAGCTGGGAAATGGCTGAGGCTCAGTGGCAGAGTATGCCTGTGTGTGAAGTCCTGAGCTTGATCCCTGGCAGCACAAAACAAAGCCTTTCATTGCTTGGGTGGCCAGTCCTCCTGCCACCCATTTGGCACATCTAGCACTGTGGGCTAATAAATGGCAATGTCGTTTTCTGGCTAAGGTGGCCCAGAGCTGGGTAGTGGGAAGCCACTGTCTGAAGCTGCAACCATCTTGGAAGAGATTTGCAGTTGAGGTGAAATACACTGCTGAGGCCATGGAACCAGGATCCCAGTGGGACTCACCTGACTAAGGCCTTGGCTCCCTCCTTCCCATTTTTCTCCCATTTTTGGACATCTGTGTAACAGAGAATGTTTGACCACCTGAGGGTTTTCCCATCACATGGTGCTTTTTGCATAGAACTGGAGGCAGAACTATCAAAGAGTTAAATGTAGGGGCAAGAAAAGGATGAGAGAAAGGACTAGAGGTGAAGATATTTGCTGCTCTTGTGTAGAGGACCTGAGTTCAATCCCCAGCACCCATATCCTGCCTACCACTCCAGCTCCAGGGATCAAACACGGTCTTTTGTCCTGCATGGCACCTGTGCACACATGCACACACAGAAATAGAATTACATACATCTTTTAAGAAAGTTAAATGTAGCTGGACATGGTAGCCATACACTTGATCCCAGCACTTTGGAGGCAGAGGCAGGAGGATCTCTGTGAATTCCAGAATAGCCAGGGCTACACAGAGAAACCCTGTCTAGAAAAAAGAAACAACAGAAAAGTTAAATGTGGCCAGGCAGTAGTAGCACACACCTTCAACCCTAGCACTAGGGAGGCAGAGGCAGGCGGATGGATCTCTGTGAGTTCGTGGCAGGCCTGGTCTACACAGCTAGTTCTAGGAGAGAGCTAGGGCTGTTACCCTATTAAATGTAGAGATGGCTCAGTGGTTAAGAACACCTGCTCAAGCCCAAGCATGAAGAACTGAATTCAAATCCTCAACATCTGTAAAATGCCTGGATGGCTGCTTTCACTCAGAGGAAGATGGAGGTAGGGGAGACAGGAGGATCACTATGGCTGCTGGCAGCCAACCTAGCTCTAGGTTCATTACCATACCATGTCTCCTTTGGAGAGGTGGTCCCCTGCTTAGGAGCACTGGCAGTTCAATCTGACACCCTCACAGAAACCTACATGCAGGCAAAATAGCAATGCACACAAAATAAGAACAAATTAATTGTGTGTGTGTGTTTAAAGGGAGGGGTCAGGAGAGATGGATCAGTGGTTAACAATACTGACTGTTCTTCCAGAGGACCCAGGTTCAATTCACAGCACCTGTATGGCAGTTCATAGCTGTAACTCTAGTTCCAGGAGACCCAACACCCATGGCAAAACCAAACAAAGAAAAAAAGAGAGAAAGAAATAAAGAAACCCTGTCTACAAAAACAAAACAAAAAGTTAAAAAGAGAGAGAGATGTCTCTAGGGTTGTAGAGGTAGAGAGGTGCCTTGGTCCTGCCTCCAGGAGATGATGGGATAGACTTAGTAGACTTCCTAGGGGAGTCCTTACTCTCTCCGTGGAGCATATGGGAAGAGTGGGGGAGCAGGAGGAGAGAAGGAAGCAAGAAGGAACTGGGATTGAAATGGAAAAATAAAAGTGGAAAAAAAAAAAAAGATGTCTCAAAATACCCTGACACATATGTGTATACTGGGCATGTACGCATGCACACACACAATTTTTAAAAACAGAAGAAAAGAGTTAGATTCACTCCCTAAGTTGTGCCTGTGTACTTAAAAGTGTTGACCTTGGTCAAGGTACTTGGTACCAGGATGTAGACAGATTTTTCTTTAGACTGACAATTCACAATTGACAATGGAGACATACAAATTATGAAAGCTCAGCCTTAGCTTAGGCTTGTTTCTAACTAGCTTTTAAAACCTAAATTAGCCCATTTCTATTAGTCTATGTGCTGCCGAGTGGCTCATGGCTTGTGGCTTTTACTTCTGCATGTCTGGCTCCCTACATGTCTCCTTGGGCCTCTCTCTCAAGCCTCATCTAGATTCATCTCTTCTCACTCTCTCTGCTCGGAAGTCCCGCCTAACCTCTTCTGCCTAGCTGTTGGCCATTCAGCTCTTTATTAAACCAACCAGAAGGCGCTTTGGCAAAGACACATCTTCACAGTATACAAAAAGATAATTCCACAGCACCAGGAACTAGTAAACATATGGGGGGGGGGGTGTTAATCACATAGTGACTAAGCTAAGACTTTGGCCTGGAACTCAGAGATCCACTTGCCTCTGCCTCCCCAGTGCTGGGATTAAAAGTGTGAACCACCACCCCCCCAGCTGATTTTTTTAAAGTTATTCATTGTGTGTGGAGATCAGAGGACAATTTTAAAAAGTCTATGTTCTCCTTCCATCCTTTGGGACCTGGAGATCAAACTGAGGACAGGTTTGGCAACAGGCATCTTTACACACAGACATTTCACCAGCTCTCAATCTAAACATTTTCTGCCAAGGGTCTCACTATATAGCCCTGGCCATCCTGGGACTCTCCCTGTAGACCAGGCTGGCCTCAAGCTCACAGAGATTCACCTGTCTCTGCTTCCTGAGTGCTGGAATTAAAGGCATGCGCCACCATGCTGGGCCTTCAACTTGATCTTTTTTTTTTTTTTTTTTTGATACAGTTTCTCTGAGTAACAGTCCTGGCTGTCCTGGAACACTCAGAATCTGAGCACATAACATTTCCTTCTTTAAGGTTTTTTGTTTGGTTTTATGTGGGAAGGTTTATTGGGGGAAGGGAATGGAGTGGGGTAAAGAGGGGAAAGTGAAAGAGAAGCATCCAGAGACAGACAGAGAGAGAGAGAGAGAGAGAGAGAGAGAGAGAGAGAGAGAGAGAGAGAGAGAGGCAAAGACCCACCTGCCTCTTCAGGGGAGCATTGGGAAAAGAGAGCTGTTTTTGTTTTTTGAGACAGAGCAAGTGATTAGCCCACGGAGGCCTTGAACTGGTTTAGTAGCCAACCATGACCTTGATCTCCTGATTCCTGGCCGCTCTCCTCCCTAGTACGGCAAGCAGGGCACTAGACCCAGCAGTAACAGAGGCAGGAACTAGTTATTTGTTTACATCCTGCAGCATTTCATCCTCTGGTCCACCCTGAGTAGAAAAAGGAGGGAAGGATTCTCCTGCAGCCTTCAGATAGTCACCAGAGCCCTGAGGCAGGGAGATAGAAGTGTGGCACTGGTTCTCACCTTAGGACCCGCCAGCATTGGAGGCGGAGCTGGCTAGGTTACTTCTGTACCTGATGCGCTGGTGTTTGCTCACTCAACACAGCCTGATCACCTAAGGTGTAAGGAGCTCTACAGATACAGGGGTGACCCCTGGGACAGAGTTCCCGATCCCTTGGGGTTTACTGCCAAGTGGAGGAGGTGAGCATAAGATTGTTACTCAACTAATGACTTCCACTGAGGTTGTGATTGACACCTCAAAGGAGAAATGTGAAGTCCTCCAAAAACAATTTTCAACTCAGGTGCACAAAGTCTCTTCCAAGGAAATAGATTGGATTGTTACAGCAGCTACAGCACATGGGAGAACACTTTCCCACCCACAGAGGTAAGTTCTTGGAAGCCAAGATCTCCACAGGACATTTGGAGAACGTCTCTATATTCCCCTTGCATTCCACACAGATGTGGTACCCATTCCTTTCCTTGCTCCCCACTCCAGTATGTGTGTTGGTTGCAGACAGGTGGTGATGGAGTGTGCCTTTAATCCCAGCACTCAGGAGGCAGAGGCAGGTGGATCTTTGAGTTCAAGGCCAACATGGTCTACAGAGCGAGTTCCAGGACAGCTAGAGCTACACAGTAAGATCTTAAAGGCATGCGCTGTAGTTGTGTCTAGCCTTGCCAGTGTATTTGTGTTAGTCGTGGGTCACCACTGCCCAGATAATTTTTCCTTTATTTTTTAAAAAGTTTTTTGTTGGGGTGGTGGGGGAGGTTTCAAGACAGGGTTTCTCTGTGGCTTTGGAGGCTGTCCTGGAACTAGCTCTTGTAGACCAGGCTGGTCTTGAACTCACAGAGATCCACCTGCCTCTGCCTCCTGAGTTCTAAGACTAACGACGTGCCACCACTGCCTGGCTTAAAGTTATTTTTTAATTTATAAATTTAAAAAAATGTAGCTGGGTGGTGATGGCACACCTCTTTAATCCCAGCACTAGGGAGGCAGAGGCCAGTGGATCTCTGTGAGTTCCAGGACAGCCAGGGCTATGACAAGAAACCCTATCTCTAAAAACAAAACAAAACAAACAAAGAACAAAGGGAACTCTGGTTCTGTGCCCAGCATTACATACAACAGGCCATGACGTCCATGAGAGAAAGATGAATTTCATATAAATGCTCATGATGAGCCCTGGAAAAAAAAAATCAAAGTCCAAGGAATTTTGAGCAAGTAGAGCCTACCCTGGACTTGTAAGATAAGGATGGACTTAGGATGAGAGAGGAATGGAGCAAAGGAGCTGGTATAGACAGGGTCTCACAAAATCCACCTATCTCTGCCTCCCAAGTTCTGGGACTAAGGGCATGTGTCACCACACCAAGTCTGAGAGACCTAGAGGAAGAAGTCAGCCTTGAAGGGACAGAAAAATGAAGAAAGGGACAGAAAAATGAAGAAAGTCTGGGGAACTCCTGGGCAAATGTGGTAGAATTTTGGACTTTGGCCTTGGGCTATAGCTTAGAGGTATAGCACCTTGGACAGTATGTACTATGCCTAGGGTTTTATACCTAAGTTGTTAAAAAAAATTTTTTTAAAGTCTTTGTCCTATGGTATTGGGAAATCTTCAGAGGAGATTTTGTAG